AATTCATCAGAAGCTGTATCTTTGATTTCACTAATATATCAATGAGGTGAAAATTTACAAAATCTCTACTGAAAGGAGGACAATTCCTCTGTGGCCACATTATACAGGAACATTAACCATGAGAATTTTTTTTGTACTTGGGTCTGCTGTTTCTAGAAGGAGATTTCAAACAAATCACACCATAACTTACTTCTAATGAACATTTAACTATTGCAAATCACTACCATCATTTTAACAACCAAAAGGGGATCTGTATTATCTTAGGAATAGCTTATTAAAATGGTCAAGAGCTTCCTATAGAATATAAGAAGTATACAGAAAATAAGCGAGGAAGAAAGACACTGAAAGTTTTGGGATAAACTTTACAAGATCTAAGTAACTGAAAAAATTAGATATATGAGAAACTGAGAAATTATTTCAAAATCTTCTCAGCATCACACCTGGGGATGATTCTCTCAAAGATAAAGGAAATGGTGTAACAAAAGTTTTCATTCGCAAGTCATTGTAAGGCCCAAAAAAATGCAAATCCGTGACACAGCAATAATTTTTTTGTCTTACAGAAAGAACTTGGAGATTATCTACTTTTCTCCATTTTTTTGTTGTTATATTTACTGTGAGACAAACACTTCATTAGCTTTCACCCATGAATTGGAAAAGTGCATTTTTGTGCAATTTCTGTACCCTTTAGGCCACTGCCATCAAAGCCTTTTTGTATTCTCTAGCTAACTAAATATGTTTGACTCATATAATGTCATTTCATGTTTCTTCTAATTAGATTGGTTTTTTCACTCTTTAGCACTAGGGGAATGCCTCTGTGCATGTCTTCTTCTCAAGAACCAGCCTAACCAGAGATGACTGCTGCTGTTTCTCCAATTGACTACGGCTAGCTGGGTATAAATAAATTTTCTTCTTGTCTTTGATTGTCTATATCACTACTGCTCTACATAATAAAATATCTGGTATAATAACTACTTTAATTGAACAGAATTACTAGCTATTATTATTTGCATTTTAATAACTTCAGTATTGCCAAGACCAACTCCACAAAAGACCATGAGGTTCATTTCAGCAACTTCGTGGGTCCGGCTGGTTTTTCTTAGCAAACAAGATCATGCTCCTTCTCAACACTTGGTAAGATGGCAAAACAGTCATGCACAATGGGATATATGTAGTGCCATCAGGAGATATTGGCTGTGAATGATGAGGTAGAGCCATGACAGAGAGAGCAGAATTGAGGTGATAGGTTTTGGAGTTACTGAGAAGCAGTATGTTTATGATCTCAGGCAAGAGCCATTCATAAAGGTATGGAAATATGTGAACCTGTTCACCTATGTAAAGGTAAAACCAGTGGTTTCTTAAAAAAACCACAGACTGTGATACAGAAATTAGCTCACAAAATAGATTCTCTGCATATACAACATAGATCTTTCCACTGCTATCATTAGCATAACTGAATGCAATTTATGCATGTTCAAGTCATCTTTAAACTCTGTAGCTCACATTTCATAGATGTTTTAATTAAGGCAACACGAAGGTTCAGGCTGCAAATGTTCATGGAGCAGCAGAGCCAGTATTTCAACATATAGAAGACCATGAGTTCCAGACTACTGTTAGAATGAGGCTGATATTTAATTCAGCTGGTTATAGTTGAGACCAAATTTTTAGTTTGATGGCTTAAATCCTTATTTAGTAAAGAACTCACTGAAATGTCAATAACTGTAAATTTTAAGTACTGACCTATTTTTACCTGAAATAGTAGATATTAATTATGGATCTCATTTTTTACAGGCTTTCCCCATAGACCATTTTACTTTTTCACATCTCATCTTTGAAGAATCAGAACCCTAGAGTTTACACTTCATCCAGCTTGATGCTCTTCACATGCTTTTGGATCCTTCCTTAGTGTCTTAGAGGTGTGGGGAGCACAGTGGTGGGGGTTTTTTCCCCACTTCTAGTGAAGTGAATTTTCAGAAGTGTTGTCTTGGGTTGTGAATCACACCATGAAAAAAAGAGGAAACTTTAGGACAGTGATCTATCTACAACAGTACACTATCTACAACAGTATTGCTAACACAGAGTATCTTCCCAAGTGTATGTTAGATAATGTCTAACATTAGATGTCCAATAATTTGCCCTAAGAAAACAATACATTCAAAGGCACGTTACAGCCCTGTGAAATTACGTTACATACTGAATTTGCACAAATGTTAAGTAGAAGGCTGCAATGGTGGCAGAATATAAGATGAACAGTGTTGCAGAGGACACTAACATGAAAAAGAATATGAAACCCTTTCCCTCAACTAATTTTCAAATTTTTAGGGAGTAATTTATTGTGGTCTTATTTGTCACAAAATAACAGTTCTTTGAGGTTTGCTCATGCTTCTTCCTCACTGGATGCATCAGGAAAATCTAGGAAACCATTGGAGTCCTAGAACTGGAACAGATGTATTTTAGATGTACTGGACAAAGATAATAGCAGAGATGTACAGACAAACCTGCTCACACAGAAATCAAAAAGCTTTCTTAGGTACTAAATATCCCACAAGCAGAAAAGGCAATTTGTTTTGTGACTATGCTGAAAAGCAGACTTCATTACATCTCCAATATGCTCTGTGATCAAAATTTGGTTATTTCAGTGACTCTCTGTCTGAGTTTTCCCTCCTTTGGGAGTTGACAAGAATCAAATCTCCCTTGCAAATGTTTGGATTTAAAGCTGGAAAGTACCATACAGGCTTATTACTGAAATATTCAGATGAACTAGAAGTGATCAAATTATTTTAAGAAGTCAATGAACACTCATACTTACTGTAACACATTACTGTCATACACAAGAGTAGCATTTACAGTTTATATCCAAGGAATCAACAAGGAAAGAATTAAAGGAAAGACATGGAATGGATGGACTCTTCTTCACAGAAACTTAGAAAGCATAAAGTGACTAATAAATGTTGTTTCCATACAGCAAATATAATTGGCTACAATAACTGCATTTTTACATTTAGAATATATTTAAAGAAAGTATCATTTACAACTCCCATGCAGTTTGCCTTAAAGTTTTTATCAAACAGACATCTAGAGATGTTATATTTTTTAATGTAATTATAGATGAAATTCAAATAAAATATTAAAATTAATCCTTTACCTGGCAGAGCATATATTTTAATGGAGAATTAGAAATAAAGCCTTTATTCCTTCATACAGCCAGGAAATCAATCAAAACTAAGTATCTTCTTTGAAGCTGCAAAACTTGCCTAGAAATCAGTAAAAAAAGCAACTTGCTGGAGAGTAACACTTCCTTCAAAGTGAAGTGGTGACTGAAATGCAATATATTTTTTAATTAACTTCCTTGCACACATCTTACAACACCACAGTAGACGAATTGTTTCTTTCAGAAGAACTCATACATATAAGCATGACTGTAGAAAGATCACATGCAACAGACTGTGGTAAGAATTTGTATATTTTATTATCACTTATTTTCACCTAACTGCACACAAGGAAATTATTCAAATTACAAAAAAAAAGCTTACTGGAATTTTGATTTTAGCAGGTTTTTTCCTAAACTCCACTTTGTAAAACTAAAATACTGATTTTTAAAGGGGATATTTGTGAAGCCTAAGTATAAAACATTAGTATTTTCATAAAATATAAAATGTTTGCATTTTACAAATATTCAATGTTTCTAAAATATTATGGAGTTGATAAACAGTTATAAATTTAACACAGGTTCACTCTAATTAAAAAAAGTGGTTCTCAAAATAAATCAACAATTCCCTAGTGCACTTATAAAGAGAAAAGATCAAAAGCAGTAACTGGTATCTTTCCTTCCAGTGTTAATTAGTAATTAAAAATCTTAGCTCCATTACTACCTGCTCTGAAATAGCTGGGGTTTTTTTTCCTTTTTGGTGGGGGGAGGCGATTTATTATACAGACTAATCCTGCAACAAAAGTCACGAAAATTAACCAGCTTTGAAACTGCTTGTCTTCATCACAGTCTAAAAAAGATATGAAATTCATTTATTTTCTTTTAAATATGCATTGTCCTCACAGACCTCATGTGCTGGTTTGAGCTGGAGTAGAGTTAACTTTCTTCATAGAGGCTAGTATGAGGCTATGTTTGGGTTTTGTGCAGAACACAGAGTTGATAAGGCAGAGATGTTTTTGTTATTGCTGAGCAGAGTTTGCACGGAGTCAAGGCCTTTGCTGCTTTCCATACTGCCACGCTGGCAAGGAAGTTGGGGATGCATGGGAGATTGGGAGGAGACACAGCTGGGACAGGTGACCCAAACTGACCAAAGGGATATTCCATACCATATGACATCATTCTCAGTATATAAGGTGGGAGGAAGAAGGAGGAAGGGGGAACATCTGGAGTGATGGTGTTTGTCTTCCCAAGGAACTGTTACGCATGATGGGCCCTGCTCTCCTAGAGATGGCTGAACCCCTCCTGTCTGTGGGAAGCAGTGAATTAATTCATTGTTTTGCTATGCTTGTGTGTGCAGCTTTTGCTTTCTCTATTAAACTGTCTTTATCTCAACCCATTAGTTTTTGTAGCTTTTACCCTTCTAATTCACTCCCCCGTCCCGTTGGTGGGGGAGTGAGTGAGAGGCTGTGTGGTTCTTGGCTGCTGCTGGGGTTAAACCACGACACCTCAGCTTTCATTTGGTCTCGAGTTGCATGTAGTCACATGTATTGCATAATTCTACTGGCCATGTAACATCCTTTCTCTGTGACAGTTCAGATATGTCTGATAATTTTAAGTTGAAATAAAAATACTAGAATCAGTTCTTTGGCATCACACTTGACAGCTCCTAGTATTTAGACTGACTGCAAGTCCTAGAAAAGTCCTAAAGAAGTACTTGGGGAAAGGGAGACAGGATGAGATTGTCACTTTTACAAAAACAAGTAGATTTAATGAATGTCCCTTTAAGGATTTCAAGTGTCTTCCATTTGCAATTTACTTCATGTCTTCAATATTGATTCCATTTTCACTTGCATCATCACAGCTCAATATTTCCTGCATACAGGGTAATCATCAGGATAGCAGTAAACCCTGTCAGTAAACCAGCATTCTGAATAACGAAGAATGTAAGGTCCATCTTTGTTCCTGTCACTTTCTCTCGCAGCATATCATTCATTTCTGTGAACTGAAAAAAAAAAAGGATATTTTTAAGTAAGTAGTGCCATCTCGTGGTAGCATGCTTTATTTAAGGCATTAAGAACTGCACCATATTGCTACTCTGGACTGAATATTAGACCTAACAGAGGGTGAAGGCAGTCACAGGAACAGGTCCCCCTAATTACCCTGTAAAACAACTTCACCAAGGATAGTAAAATGAAATGGTGTTTTGTTCCTCTCTACTGTGATTTCACCTGGTTGCCCCTCATGCAAGTTTTCAATATTTTAATTCCAGCAGTCTCCTGTGTTCCAATTGTTGGTCCATATGTTGCTAGGAGGAGCTGCCCCTGTATTGCTAAACGTTGTATTTATTCCTTCATTAGTATAACGAGATAAATCCTTGTTCAGGAAATGGAAGATTAGGATTCTTCAGCTTAATCTAAAGGCAAATGAAGTTGAAAATACAGACAACCCCTCAGAAACAAGAAACTTGTTACAAGTAGGAGGTCTGGTGGGCTTGTGAGGTCAAGCAAGGAAGAAAAAAGACTGGCATGAAACTGATGGTAATACATGCAATCCTACATTACAGGGCAATGAAGGGCTTCTTCATTCCATAACATGCATCTTAATGGAAACATAATAGCAAGGGATGGCTGATTTGCTGCTAACTGCAGAAACATGTACTTCCTGGAAGAGCCAAAGGAGGTGATGGCAGAAGAGCACAGGCGATGAAGTTCCCTCCATGGGATGATTCATGGTATGTGTTTGCTGCAGAAAAAGTCAACTGCAGTGGATTTTGAAAAATATACTCAAATAAGTTTTAAAGTCTTCTGTTCTGCTGAGAGTACTATAATCAGAATACAATGAAGACAGTTTAGTTCAGTCTTAGTTTGGAAATCTTCAGGCTGAGTGACTCAGAAACTGCATCTTTCCTTGATCTCACAATGCAAAAACAGCCACTGAAGGTAATGCAATTCTTGAAGAACAGGCTAAGGTTAGCGGAAAGTGGCTGAACCTTCCCAGAAATTCTTCCAGAATTACATAATTCTCTTGCACAAGAGGCAATGACAACAAACCAGATTAGCTTCATGCCATACAGCAAGGCTCATTTGTGTACACACCTCAGTGTACACATTCTCACTTGCCACAGATTCACCACACAGTGATCTTACTGACAGAGGTTGAACTATGCCAATACTGGATGAAAATAAAGAACAGCAAAATGAGAAGGAGGAAGGAATGGCATTCCAGTTAATCCTACCTGCTTCTGGACAAGGAAACCAGAAGTGTGTGAAAATCATGACAGAAAGCAGAAAGCCAGATCTCTGGACAGAGAACTTGAAAACCCTATTTCAGACTTTTCAGGGGGAAGAAAAACTCAGATAGGTACTGATACAATCCAAACACCTATAAAAAGAGAAATTGGGGGAAGAGGGGACAGGGAGAGAGAGAGAGATAGAGAGGACCAGAGAGAGCAGAACAACAGACAGAAAGACAATAATGTTACCTACTTTGATGGATTTAATGGCAAATTTAAGTTGAACCACTCTATGCCATGAATATTACACATCATAGTTTAGTAAATTACTATTCATTATATGAGTGAAACTAAATGAAAAGCATCAGCAATTAAGGCACTGCAAACTTATAAAATAAACTATTGATATTGCTCATGTAACTCTAACTAATACTTATTAAATCCTAAGCTATTACCTAAACAATAGTAGTATTTGATGAAACAGTCACTCTAACTATATGACAGTTCTTAAATGCACACAGAACCAAACTGGGGTCTCAAATCTTTTCAAATCCAGGCCTCACTCTTCCAGTTCTACATTCAAATGGATTCTCACGTGGCAGGAGTAAACACCTTTGCACCTGTTGCACCTGTTCTTACAACACTGAATTACACATAATAAACATAATACATCTCTTGAAAGATCTCTTTCATTTTGAGACAAAACATCATCATAACAGGAAATTATGGACTACTGCTAACTGCCTGTGAATCCAGGTTTTATTTCCCAATGTCTAAATCTGATTCGGATCTTAGCACAATTTATTTGGCTTATATCTTCTATCATACTTTGGAAACATAAATGATAGGCAGACTATTTTGAATAAAACTCAGCAAATTTTTCAGTCTGAATCACAGAACTGGGCTGGCACTGTTTAATTTAAACCAGTATAGAATTTAAATTAGGTTTTTCAGCTAAACAACTCCAAAATTGTCACTGTGGTAATAAAACAACTTCCATTCTACTCAATACTTAACATAATTTTGTTTACCCTTTTTTGCTTTTCTTTCATGAAATGGCTTAAATAGACAATTGAAACTTTTGAAAATAACGTGAAATACTTTGAGACTTTAAAATGCTGAAACAAAATATTTATACCTTTTTACAAACAAAGTGATGAAACCAGCCCAAGTTTATGAAACGCTTATGGCTGTCTAAAGCTCCTTTTCAGCACTAATATGAGGAGGTCTATCTGTGAAAGGCTTTCATGTTTCATGAACAAACGTAGCTCTTAGTGCACATCCATTAAGGGTATAATTGATGCTCATGATGACAATAATAAGACAATGGCATGAGAGGGAGAAAGTACTAAGTTCTGCTGAAGGGACTTAATGCAGTCTTTGTTTTCTTGCAGAGAAATAAATAACTGAAAACGAAATTATAATCTCACCATATCTGCCAGAGAGATGTACAGGAACATTCCACCAGCTATAGCAAAGATGATGTTAGGAGCAAAGTTGTTCCCTACTAATATACCAAAAGCCATCCCAATGTAACAAGAACATGCAGACAGAAAATTGAAAAACAGAGCCTGCCGAGTACTCATTCCTCCATTAAGCAAGATGACAAAATCCCCTAAAAGAATAAAAAAAAAAAGAAAATTATCTTCAGAAAATGATATTGTGGTTATTTTCCGATTTCAAATGAAGTGTGAAGAAAAGACACAATTTGTTTACACATTATAACCCCCTGTTGTTTGTCCTCATTCAAGTCCATGAGGATTTCCCTTCAATACCAGGGAAACCGAAATGTTCTAAACAAGTAAGTGCTGCACAATTGAACTAAGAACACAGGAACACAGAACTACCTATAATGATTTTTGTTTCACAAATTAATTAATGCAACAGCGTATGCAGCATATATATGAACAGGATACTTAACATGTCTCCAATATACAGTTCCAGCTTCCACCCACCTGCACTTGGGGACCTCCTGCACTAGATGTGTTATTTTGGTGCTTGGGAATTTTTTGATGAATACTTTTTCCATTAAGTTGTCTAAACTTTCTTTCAATGTATGCGAACTTTTGGTGAGCACAACCTCCTACAACAGTGATTTCCACAGTAAACAAAATGTGCAATGAAGCCCCTTACCCAGTTCATGAGGAAACTCTTCACACAAGATGGCTATGGATGTACTAAGCCCTTGAAGCAGAGACAAAGTGAAAGCAGCACCAATAGCCAAACCATCTATGAAATTATGTACAGCATCACTCAGTGTTACCATCCAAGCAATGCTCCCAATCTTTGACAGTGGACGCCCTTTAAGACACTTGCATAAGCCACTTTGGGTGGCTTCTCCCTGGAAAAAGAAAAGCACAATGAACCAATTACACAAAACACTGAATCAAGAAGCTAACGAAGCACACCTCTGTCTTTAAATGAATGTCAAGTATAAACTAAACCACTACTGCATATGGAGACCAAATTGCTTGCTCCAGGAAGCAAAGGGCACAGGTAACAGCAGCAAATGTTTCAGCATTTAAGTTAGTCAAAAGTTAACATGCAGGACTCAATGACCCTACTGACAACAAGGCTTTATGTGAATGCCCTTCAGCTGAAACAGAAAGCACTCCAGGCCATAGTGCTGTGAATGTCTCTCTGGAGTTTCGGTCAGATAAGAGAGTTCCAAGGCTCCTCACAGCCTCCTTGGCCACCTCTACTTAGCATGTACAGTCAGAAGGATCTGATCACAGTGACTGACAGCATCTGTATTTCCTGCCTATATTGACAACTGTGTAGAAAACCTCTTTCTCTTTATGAGAAGGCCAGAGAGTATTCCAAGAAATTTTCTTTAGCTATTAAAAACAACATTGCAAATTGTTTTCATTTTACCATATGTAAATACTACCAGGCAACTGAATTTTGAACTCCATGGAAATCCGACTGAAAAATTCTTACAAAATCTTTAATGACAGAGCAGGAAGGTCTGTCTCATGATCTACTCACCAGACCCTTATCAGATTATATCCTCATACGTAGGAGCTTGGCATAGGGCAAAAGTTCAGGTCAGGAATTTCCAAGTCAGATGCCTATTGCACTGCCTGGAACTCACAGATGATAAAGCCTTGGTTGAGTAGTGCCAAAACTGCCACAAAGTGGACTTACAGCTCCTATTGGGAGTTTCCCTGCTGACTGAAACACTTTTTAGACTTGATGACATGCTTGTCTTTAGTTTTTGGAAGCTTTCCTCTCAACATTTCATCTAACACATGCAATGACTATCATATTTTTGGGATGATTAATTTGTACCTGTACTAACTCTGTCTGAGATTGGATCACTTATGAGTAATAGACCTTTCTCTTAATCCACAAAGGCAATTTGAACTTCACTTTAAGAAAGAACTATTACAAAGCAAAACACATTAAATACACTTATCATGCAACTGAAAGTAAAATGAAACATGAGTATGAGAAAATCCAAATACTATTAGCAAAGCTCTTCCAGCAATTCATCCAGCTCCCTGAGCTAAAGATTAGTTCCCCTATGTTTTTTTCTATTCCCTGGTGACTATCCTTCAAGTTGCCTACCAAATGGTGAAGGCACTGTTTTCTAGATCGTCCTGATTTCTGCCAAAAGCACCTCATTTTTCTTGTGCATGTTTCTAGATTCACTGAGGAAAGGCAGTTTGAGACAGTGCACACTTTCATTCTGAATAATTAATTCATATTTTTCTACTAAAAAGGAACACTGTATTTTTGAAACACACACACAAACCGCAACAGCAGCATGTATTTCTGATAAAGCAGCAATATTAATCTCAGGAGACTGTATTTGGAAAAGGTATGTTAGCACCTTCTATTATACACAAGAAAAAGTAGGTGGTTGTTTTTGTTGTCAAAAATTGCTGTTGCCAAAATATTCTCACACCAAATGCCAAGCATCTCCATAAAATACATGGTTTTATGAAGAGTTTATTAGGATAAAAGTTCCTGAAAGAGCAATTAAACAGTGAGCAAATAACACAAATGTGCAAAAATGTCACTACATAAACAAGTACATACCTGTTTATGTCCATTCCCACCAAAGCACATTTGGTTTTATGTGGGAACCATGTTAGTGCCTGCAGTTTTCTGAGGGCTGTAGTAGGCAGAACTGGCTTAGCTATGGAACTAAGGACCCATTTTCTGATACCAGTTGCACAGCTGAGAATTCCAATGACAGCCCAAAGCATTGCATATGTATGATACACTTAAAAATATGAAGGGCTTTTTTTAGTGAAAAAATAATTTACAAATATAAGTGCTGAACTTTCTGTGCAGCTATGAAATAAACATTGAGTAAGCAGATGCTATTGAGAATAAGCTGTTGAGTGTATCAAGAATGGAACTAACTCTAGAAAAGTGTTAAGGTTTGGGTTGTTTCATCTATGCATCTTCTTTTTTTATAATTGCAATTAATTTAGGATACCAATACTGATTTACTTCTACAAATTACCATCTTCATCCAGTCTTTCAAAATGCAGGAATAACCGTAGTTTAAAAACTAAGTATCAGTTTTTGAGAGGCTTCTGTAATATATATATATGGCTATCTGCCATTTACAGTGTAGCTCTGAAGTATCACAATTCTTGCATGTATTCCATTTTAAATAATGTCTTGACTTCTTCTCTAAATTATATAAAGTACAATGAAATTGCTTACCTGGATTTACATTCTGAACTTCACTACATTGTATGTCTGATAGAAACAGATGAATGGCTAATATACATTTGTCATGTTTAAGATAAGGCAGACTACTGACAAAATTGCCCTACAAATATGTGGGATTTCAAGGCAAAAACTGAACAATGTCTGTCTCTGCTGGACTATTCCCACTTTGTCATGGCAGTTTGGCAGACATTACAGAAGACTGAGTGGATCCTACAGAAGACAGTGGGATTGAGTGCTCCCTCAGCAAGTTCAGTGATGACACCAAGCTGTGTGGGGCAGTTGACATGCTGGAGGGAAGGGATGTGCCATCCAGAGGTACCCTGAGAGGCTTGAGAGGTGGGCCAGTGAATGAAGTTCAACAAAGCGAAGTGCAAGGTCCTAAACCTGGGTCATAGCAATCCCAGGTACACCTATAGGCTGGGTGGGGAAGTCACTGAGAGCAGCCCTGCAGAGAAGCACTGGGGGTGATGGCTGATGAAAAACTCAACATGAGCCCAGCAGAGTGCACTCACAGCCCAGAGAGCCAACCAAATCCTGGGCTGCATCAAAAGGAGAGCAGCCAGCAGGTCAAAGGAGGTGATTCTCCCCATCTACTCTGCTCTCGTGATACCCCATCTGGAGGCCTACATACAGTTCTGGTGTTCCCAACGTAAGAAGGATGTGGAACTGTTGGAGCAAGTCCAAAGGAGGCACACAAAGCTGATAAGAGGACTGGAATGCCTGCAATGAGAGGACTAGAGGGAATGGTCATAAGCTGAGACAGGGGAGATTCAGACTAGATATTACGGAAAAAATTTCAGTTTGGGTGGTCAGACATTGGAATAGATTGCCCAGGGAGGTGGTGGAGTCACCATCCCTGGAAGTATTTAAGAGGCTCTGATGCTGGTAGACATGGTTTAGGGTTTACAGTGGAGTGCCACATTAATGGTTGGACTTGATGGTCTTAGAGGTCTCCTCCAACCTTAATGATTCCATGGAGCACCTTCCCTATGAAGCCAGGCTGAGAAAGTTTCAGCTGCTCAGCCTGAAAAAGAGAAAGTTGTGTGGGGACCTCATAGCAACCTTCCAGTATTTCAAGGGGCTTTACAGAGAAGCCAGAGAGGGACTATTTGTTAGGAACTGCAGTGACAGGACAAGGAGTAATTGGTATAAATTGGAAGAGGGGAATTTAGATTAGATACTAGGAAAAAGTTTTTTAATGTGAGGGTGGTAAGACACTGGAACAGGTTGCTCAGGGAGACTGTGGATGTTCCAACCCTGGCAGTGTTCAAAACCAGGTTGGATAAAGCCTTGAGCAATCTGGTCTAGTGGGAGGTGTCCCTGCCCAGGGCATGGGAGGTTGGGACTAGATGATCTCTAAGGTCCATTCCAACCCCTTATTATAATATCGTGGTACTATGAAGAAAGGCCAGCTAAGGAGCTCTGTAATACTCAGGTGGACTATCAGGTCTAATTTTTATTACTTACTAATGCAGTTCTGTACTACTTGTACCTCCACAGTTTATGGCAAACCAAAGACATCCTCGGTATTTTTGCTCTTCCAAAATACAGGAGGTTTTTTAGTAGTAATCGCCTCTCCTTTGTTTCTAAACTTAAGAAATTATACAGAGATTCTCTGATTTTATACAATGATATCTCATCAGATCACTATTGCTATTTCTAATACATCTCTGATTCCCTCAGACATGAACCAGACATGTCCTTTTGTGGTCTCTGGAAGTGCCCACACAACCAAGAGAGAATCCTGGCACTGCCTCCAAGGAATAAATAAAGGCCATTGTGAAGTAGACAACTCTAACACTATGCACTTGAGAATACAGCATTTTGACATTTCAGCAATTTGTCTCTGAAATAACTTGTCTTCAGACTTACTGTTGTCAAGCCTATACATATTTCAATGCATAGCAGATACAAACTCTTAGTAGAGCACAAAAGAGGCTTTCAAGGTTGCAATTAGTGCAGCAAGTGAACACAGAAAGTAAGTGACTAATTAAACATTCCCTTTGGCAGTCAAACTCCTTCAGCATTAAAGGCAAAAATATAGCTGGATCCCCATGGCTGAAAACAGTGACTACACTTTGGCACAATCAGGCTTCAAACTCCCTCCTTAAAGCCTTCATGATGCTTTCTGACCATGCTGTGCTTGTCCTCTTTAGTAAATTGCAGATTACAAGAACACATTAAAATTCTATTAGGTATGTGTCGGTCTATGCCAAATGGTTTCTTCTTAAATACTACATGCCTGTAAAACTGAACACATACCTACCCTCACGTCATTGCCCTAACTGCCCCGAAGCACCTCGGCCACACTGGCCCTCCCCTGAACCCTAAAGACACTGAAGACTACCTGGCCCCTTTGAATCTGACTGGAGGAGGACAAGAGTAAAGATGGCTTTTTTTGCTGCTACCTACAATAGCACAGAATCATTAGGTTGGACCTCTCAGATTACTGAGTCCAACCACTAACCTAACACTACTGAGTCCACCACTAATCCATGTCCCTAAGCATCACATCTACACATATTTTAGATACCACCAGTGATGGTGATTCCCTTTCCTGAACAGCCTGTTCCAGTGCTTGACAACCCCTCCTGTGAAGAACTCTTCAGGCCTGTTCCAGTGCTTGACAACCCTTCCTGTGAAGAACTCTTCAATAATACCCAATCTAAACCTCCTCTGGCCCAACTTGAGGCCATTTCCTCTTTGTCCTGTTACTTGTTACTAGGGAGACGAGACCAACCTCCCACCCTGCTACAACCTTTCAGGTAGTTGTAGAGAGCAAGAAGGTCCCCCCTGAGCCTCTCTTACTCCAGGCTAAAAATATCCAGCTCCCTCAGCCATTCCTCACAGGACTTGTGCTCTAAACCATTCACCATCTTCATTGCCCTTCTCTGGGCTTGCACCAGCATTTCCATGTCTTTCTTGTAGAGAGAGGCACAAAACCAGAACCAGTACTCAAGATGTGACCTCACCAGTGCCAGGTATAGAGGGACAATCACTTCCCTAGTCCTGCTGCCCACACTACATCTGACGCAGACCAGGATGGCACTGGCCTTTCTGGCCACCTAGTCTCACATTGAGCCACAGACTGACACCAAGACTTCCTTGCAGCCAGTCCTGGCTCCAGAGTCAATTTTACCCTGCTACTTTCAAGAGGATTTAATACAACATATTATCACCCTGGATCTGCAGAAATGAAAAGGAAGAAAAAATGAAAGGCATGCATTTTCATAAGAACAGTAAGTAGGGGAGAAGATATTGAACATTTAAAAACTAGGAGAAAGATACTTAATTATTAAATTTGCATGGGCACCAAGAGGGAATTAGTATTATGAGTGTTCCTAAGCTGTCTCTTGTAGGTCTATTTTCTGCATGTTTTTAATATTTTCTGCATGTTTTTAATATTTTTTTAAAGTAAGGGACAGTACTGCTCCTCCCTGCACATGGAAAAGACTAAAGAAGCACAAAATTTTCTCTTTGTACTTCCATTTCTTCTCCAACAGTAGGAAGATATATTTGTAGCATGAAAATAAGCACAAAGAAATACAGTGAACAAATCTGAAGCAACACTTAAACCAGGAGGAATGGCTTTTGTCTCAACATATGACTTCCTTAATTCCCATAGTATCCAAATATACTGGATTAGCACAAGCCGTGCTCACAGTGTATAACATGAAAGTTACTGTATTAGTTTTCCTCATTAATTACTGATGCAGAGGAAATCAGGTTCTCACACATAACAGCTTTACATAGGAACACAATATGGATCATACAACATTAAAACACACTATCACTCTCTAAGCAAAACTGTAACAACATCAAAATTAACTGAATTATCTAATTTAATATATATCTCTGTCCTACCCATCCCAACACTGATATAAGATACCACTTTTTGTTGGCAACAAATTGAATGCATCAAGCTTTTGTAAGCTTGCCCCAAAACCCCACATTTTTTCAGACAGCTTAAGCAATTACAAGCTATAAATTTACCAAAACTTGACAAAAGTAATAAAAATTATATTAACTCTTCCCTCAGATATGCTTATATAATTGGCAGGGATAAAATAGACAACATTTCCATACCTGTGCAGAGACCACACTGATGCTGTCAAAACCAAGATTTCCATTGCTCTCTACGACAGCTGAATTTGCATAACATGCCCCCCCATTGCTGGATGATAGTGGTTTGGGGGGGTTAGTCTTATCCTGGGAATGATTCTCTTCACCATTTTTTAGGTCACTATGGCCAGTCTAGGTAATAGATAAATAGATAGCTAATTTAAATAAACACAAAATAGAAAACATAAGAAAATAGAGACATCATATTCAGGCTGTCTTGCTTTCAACACTAAGTAATTTTTTAAATAAGCAGCGGTAAACATTTAAATTTTGTAATGAACTTCAAATGTATCTAAGCTCCTAACTTACATCTTACTTTTAGCTAATCAGAATACATGGAGGATTTTTCATTTTTATATCTTTATGTAGCACCTTCCAAGCCAAACACCTGACCATAAGTGATCATTTACCAGTTATCCATGGTTCCTTGTCAAATAGAGCTTTTGTCAACTCTTTCCAAAAACGAAGAGCAACAAATTTTTTTTATTTTTATTTTTAGCTATTACAAATGAGGGACAATTGGTCATCATAATCTTTGGGAGGGGGGATCTAAAGAGAAGTAAGACAGGAAGACAGGACAGTTTCCTTTCACAAGGAACAAGCAGAAAAGACCAAAAGCTTTGAAGTGCCATTCTCCGAGACAAATTCAGCCCCACTCATGTAAGTACACAGAAAACAACTACTCTGACTTACGAAAGCAGAGCCCTGGGCAATAGGGGATAACTGCAATGTTCACTAAAGCAGGTCTGTACACAGAGCTGAAGTTACTGAAGGTGAGAATCAGGCCCTATCAGCACGGTTACACTTTGCACATGACTAAGAAGGTAAATATGCCATATTGACTCCTCCTGCTCAAAGGGGAGCTTTACAGACAGATTGCATTCTCTCAATCTCTTACATATTTCCTCATTTTTCTCATGTGTTTAGCTATTGCAGCAATGCCTTGGCCTTTGAGGGCATCTGGAGCATACACCAGTGAGAGCAGACCACACTCACATCTTGGTTCTATACCCAGTGCTGCTTGTAGCTCCCTCACAAATATGAGATTGCTTCCCCTATCCATATGGATTTTAAACGGGTGTATCAGAACACGGAGTAAGGCTGAATTCCACAGTTAAAATAGAAAAAAACCACAAATTTTATTCATCTATCAAGTATCTCATAAAATACGACAAGTACTTCAAGGCAAGGCTTGTTCAGTTAGTGATAGGTTTCATTACCTGGTTATAGATCTTTCGTATCACTTTAAGAATCCTTTCCACAAAAAAGAGAATATAGAATCCACCAAACACAGCAACTGCTTTCTCAACATAGTTATCTACTTTTGGGTCGAACCCAAACGCCTAAAAGTGAAGGACAAAGGAATGCAAATTAGTCTGTAATCTTAGTACACTTCTAGAAAAACAAACAAACAAATGCCACACCACACAGATGCTCCTTTATTGTACAAATTGTCTTTACATCAAACAACAGTTTCTATGAGATGAAATTGTGAAAGATCCCAATCATTTCAGACTTTTTAAATATGGATTGTTAACAGTGTAGCCTATTAAAGTTCAGTACAATTTTATCCAATGCATTTCTCTTTCCATCTAGAGGCAGAATAGCCTTTGGTCTTTCCCAGTGCACAACAAGACATAGATCTTGATTGCTCTGACTCACCCTGAAAAGGGTTGGTAGCTAATGGCACCAAAGCCCACACACAACTCTTCAGAGATTACAACCCACACACAGTACCCCACTGCAGCATGCTTCTAAATTTAATACACTTTAGAAACTAGTATGCAAACCAAATAATGATTCCCCTTGCTTACCTCTGGAATGAGCTGGAAAATTGCATTGGAAAATAGAGTACCAATGGCCAAACCCACAAAGTAGGTTAAAACCTTGGGGAAATACGACTTCTTTAAGAGAGGAGTTAAAATAAATCCCAGAAGTGATGCCAAGTTAATTATAGTCACAGCCAGGAATCCAAATCCCCAAACTGTGGATAAACAAGGAGAAATACAAAATATTTTAGTATAACATCCACTTCAGTCTGTTTGTGATTTCTCTAATTGCTAGATTGACATGGAATTGAGAAAAAAAGTGGTTCCTTGGTTGAAGTTATAATTCACAAATATAAATTACTAAAATGCATAGGCAGTTAAGATCCATACCTGCAGAAACGAAATACCTGAAAACACTGTCTGGGCCTACCATATTAAAAATGCAAACTGTACTAGTATAAGATCTGGACCAGCCTATCTGCTGCTAATATAAATTAGGTCTCTCTACAGTCAATGAAGGTTAAAAATCAAAGCTTAGACCAACAGTCAAAGTAGCTATAGCACAAAGATATGACAAAACTTCTTACCAGTCCCAGAGTCAGATCCAATTACCATTTATTTCTAAGGAACTCCAAGACAAAACATTTGTTGTCTTGGCTATACTAGATACAAAAATCCTTCCTGATAAAGGATGACTCCTTTGAATCATCCTGAGGTGCCATCCTTGTTTCTAGCACTCCTACCTCCTCCTCTTATTCAAAGCAGTTCTGCTGGCTGAAAATGCTTATCAAACAGGTGAGGCAGCAGACAACTGACAGATGATACAATTATAATAGAGAAATGAAAGTGCATTAAAACAGAGGACATGTGATTTAGGTACACAATGGGGATAAACTTTCCTAGAACACAGTAAATGCACCATTACTTAGTTTCCTTCACCATAAGTATCATTTCAGAATTTAAGAGTCCAAGCACCAGGACTTGCACTAAACCCTACCATAATTATTCCAGAGCCTGAATTATAGGCTGGGGAGGTGTGGTGTGGTTGCTGTGTTACTCTCAAACGTAACACAGCTATGCCTGTGTGCATGACTACTGTTTTTCCCAGTGACACCTCAAGTCCCTGTAAGCACAGAGAAAACCTTTAAAAGTTGCACTGAAGAGGTCTACAATGCTGCCTTAAGCAATACCACAGAACCACGTGATCTACACAGACAGAGGGTTTGTCTGCAAAAATTAACCACAAATAATAATCAAAGCCAACACAATATTGCCTAGATGAGAATAGTTTGGCATAATCCAGAAAGCTGCATCATTCTAAGCTTGTATGTATGTAAAGAAGCTACCACAAATTCCTCTCTGCATAGCAGAAACTAACAGATCAGATTATAATCTGCAGCCTGACTTTTCCAGAACACAACTGGCAAACACACCAAGCTAGATTCCTCCTCTGCAACTGGGATGGCTCTACTCTGTTTGTACAGAGTCACAATTTTTATGTATAATAAACTTTATATTATATCAAGAACAGAAAGCTTTAGAAAAATTTAAAGCATTTGCAGAAGGTATATCTGTGCCAATTAGAACATTCATTTGCCAATTTTGAGAGAGATCTACAGGGAGTTTGAAGAACACAGAACTAGATATGGGTACATTCACTAAGCTATACAGGAGATTAATTTCCAATTAAAATTAATTATAATTAAGTTTGTAAATATATTTCTGAAATCAAATTTGTACTAAACAAATGGGCTTCCAATGTCATCATGAATCACATACCACTGTTTACAGTCTGGGATTACTATAGAAGCACAAGTCTCCTCCAGTTTAGTATACAGACATCTACACGTATTCTGTGCAAAAATGTACATTTTAAACCGAGTTAACAAAATAAAAGAGTGACAAAGTTCCAAGGCAACTAATATTGCCAAAGTTCCTGCATTACAGAATGTATTTCACAATATCATGTATGTACTGCTGCCTTAAAATTGGTTTTATTAATTAGGACTCTATCCACACAAAGTTTTTGATGAGTCCATGCATCTCAGAAAGCTGACTAAGGTGACTTTATGTACCAGGGCAGGGCACTCTGCTTAGGATGCACACTATCTTCCCCTGACACTGGTGGCACAATCAGCTTTTGCCAACTACCTCTTTCTGTCTCTAGAACTGCAGCCTCAGTAAAGCAGCAGCCAAGATACCTCAAGTCACAAGAAATCCAAGAATTAAAACTGTAGAAGTGCAAGTAAGATGCCTCCTTAGCACACCATTGCTCAGCATTGTTCCTTACAAGTACAGGCAGGCTCAGGCTCTTCCTTAGCCCTGCCCTGGGATGAAGGGGAAATAAGTGCATGAATACTTTTCTGAAGAAGTCAAGCAGAAAGTGTTCACCTTGGACAGAAGGAATGCCACTGGATATTTCCAGCTATTCCATGAAGCTCTACACACCTCCCTAGTATCTTTCAGAGAAGCAAGCAAGGAAAAGACTTGAATGTGCCTCTAAGGTCGGCTAGGTTAGATATGAGTCATAGAAATCCCAAGAAAAAAGGACAATATATGTTGCCTTCTAACTTCTACTTTACTTTGGCAGCATTAATTTTCTGTTTCAAGTAGCTGCTCCGTAAAGCTTACAGTACTGGTTTCTTCTGTGTGTCTTGCCTGTTAGTATTTCGAACACCACATATTAAGTGAGTGGGAGTCCCTGGGGAGAAAATTCACGTAAGCACAGCTGGAAGCATGCAGAGAGGATTTTGCTTCATGGGCAGTAAATGAAATCGTCTGGTGTTGATGCTGCCACAATAGAGACTCTTTTTGTGATGGGGCAGGAGTGTGCATAAATCAACAGCTGCATTTGGCACTGGGCCTCTCTCTGAATCCCTGTTCAAAACAGGCACCATTATGTGTTGCAGCCTCATACGCTTGTGGTTTAAAATACCCTAACCACGGACCTTGCAGATTTCTTGGGCTGCAGCCAAGGAAGGGGGCAGGGAGAAGGCTGCCTTGCTTATCTGGCTACTGGACATTGCTTCTGAGCTGGCCAGATAAAAGAAAAACAACAGGGATGGTCTAAATAGCTTAGGAGGTTAACTGTAGGTTAAGATTTCTATATACAACCTACTTAAAAAGCCCCAAACAAAACAAAACAAGAAGAAAAAAACCAAAACCAACCAAAGAAACAAACAAAGAGAGAAAGACAGATCCTACTCTCTGGTGCAGATACTATGGACTTCTTGGTAATGTGTCTTCACATGGTACAAGCAATCTAGAAGAGTCATGGTAAATTGGTGCCACGGTTTCAGTGATTACTCTAGAATTCTAATCTTTCACTGACACAGCTAAATTTTAGCAATAATCTCTAATTCTTAATAAATATGATCACATATTCATGAGAATGTTATTAATTCAAGAGTTATGAAAAGCAGTCTTGTATATCTTCTCATAAATAGTGACACTAGGCATGTGCTCATCCAATAGCCTAACTTTTAACTTTAATTCAACTGACTCCCTTGGAACAGTAAATTTACTTGGAATACTGAATCAAATAAATGGGTCACTATATTTGACCCTTATCAGTGCAACAAGTGACTCTATTAACCAGCTGAATCTTCCATATCCTATGGTTTTTCTGCACTGTACAGTTCTGTGCACAATAAATACAGAAAATTGGCTCCCCTGATGTCATGACTCCCACCTGCAAATAACTCCACTCAAATGTGGTCTCCTAGTAATTTTACCTCGAGTTGCCTTGATACATGCAGATCTCACCAAGTTTGATTTCCCACTGCAAACTGCTTGCAGAAACTTCCCTCCCGTACTCCCATCTTCTCTCCTATTAACCAGTTCTTAGCAAGAGTCCTTATATTTCAAGGCACAAACCATTATGCAAATAAAACAAGTCAGAAAGACTCTTCCTTTAGTGGGCAGATTATTCCATAACTTGCTACTCAGTTCTTTCCCCTTTCTTAAAACCTTTTAAATAGATCACTGCCAAGAGAGAATGCATTTCTTTAGACAGTCCGCTGACCTGAAAGAGCATTTTCATTTATTTGTTCCCATTTTACAACCATATCCTCCTAAACAAGACAATCCTGTAATGTACAGATAAATGCTGACTAGTCCCCTAAGAAAGGCCCACTCCAGTTACAGTATTAATACAATTCATATTAACTAACCTTGTGAAGAATGTGGTTTAGATGTATCCACGAAGTTTTCCTGAAGATCACATGGGTGAAAAACCAGCTGTTGCAAAATAGCAGGACATATTGTAGACAAGCTGGAATTTGATATGTGAGTGTCGTTCAGTATTCCATGCAAAGAAAAAATTTCTTCACTACTCAAGCACTGAAACAAAAAGGGATTTTGCCAACTTAATACATGAATGCAAACCACAAAAATAATTGATACAGTGAGAAATCCAAGAATTACAGCATGAAGATCCTGTAATATTGATACAGTGAGAAATCCAAGAATTATAGCATGAAGATCCTATAACGCATTTCCAAGGAAGCCTACATAGTGTTTGTATGCTGTGCATGAAAACACTGGGATTGCTTAATGTGAAGCAGAAGTGATTCTAAGTATTTTAATCACAAATCAATAGAATGCCTTTTAAAGAGACATTTGAACTCTTATGCCCTATGAATTAGGACAGTTAAACCTTACAATATATTTGGAAAAACAGCTTCAAAGTAATTAAAAACTTGTGTAATTAAGAAATAATTAAATTTAAGAGTAGACTAGGTACAGTTAAAATCTCAGTGACAGAGTATGTCAGAAAATTACTGGTAATTCACAAACAGCTTATTCTTGTAAGTGACCATTTCTACTTTACAACCTCCCCAAATTAACTGCTTAAAAATGGTCTAAATCTTAGCAGCACTTGGCATCTTCCATTCATCCCACAGCAATAACTGTTATGAGCAAACATTGTTTTGTAAAACCATCCTGTACTCCAAAGAGATAAACTCCTACTTGGGATCTTCACTTTGCCTTCAACTCAGGACATAAATGTCTGATAAATGCACTTGGCAGTACTAAACCAGACCGGGGCAGGGCTGGTTACTCTGTCCTTTTCAAACAAAAAGACAAAATACAAACCACAAAATATCTTAAAATACACATCTACATAAAAATGGAGTGGTTTTATACAAAATGTTCCAAACCACTGAAGACTTATATCTGACAGTTTCCGGTCATCCAAAATGTTCCAAACCACTGAAGACTTACATCTGACAGTTTCTGGTCATTCACATTATCTCCCACAATGATAAGGAAAAAGTGATTTTTTGAGTGTGAACAAAAGTGATTTGACTTAATGCTGCATAACTAACACATAAGAAGGTTGAGTCTCAAGACCAAAAAAGTAAAATATCTTCCTTCTATACAAGACATCAAATACAGCATAACTCCCTCTGTAGCAAATCTCAGTGTGGTTGCAAAAGGAGAGCACTGGAAGCCTTAGCAAAATAAAAACAAATGGTCACTCCCTGCTCTTTTCAGTTTTGCTAGCCTTCAGATTCCACAGCACTATAATTCAACATTATTATTTACAGAGCAATTTCCTTCTACAGACAAGCCAACACAACTGCAAGTAATTTACTTCAACAGAGCTGCTTCTGCTTCCCTTAATAAATATTTTTGTAATAGTGTCCAAAGGGTAAAAGACATGCACCTATCACTTGAAAGTGACTCTGTGATTTAGCTTGGAGGAAGAGAACACACATTCAAGCAGCTTCAGCTAAATTACATCCAGGATGCTTCTGTCCATCCTCTATAAAGACCTAGTCTAGCAGAACACTCGAGAATGATTTTGTCAAGACCATAAGACCTTGAAGACTCAAATATACAGAAGCAAAGCGCATATAATTTCATGTTTCAATGTCAATGCTAATGTCAAACAAGTACCACATATACAATAAATATAGCTTGATAACAGAAAATGTTTGTTTCCTTTAAAGGACATTGCTCCATTTAATCTCTGTGAAAGCAGTGCATAGAGAAATCATCACTGAAGGTACAGTCTCTAACAGGCCAATACACAAACCTCTAGAGCTTTCTGAACTGGTTAAGTGCCTAATCATTTTACTGGTAACTCTGCATTGTGGAATAATGCAAAGCACATGCTAATATGCCCATGGTGAAACAAAGGGAGGACAGTTATGGTCTACAGGACCTACAGGTGCTTCATATATTACTGACTCATATAGCCACTTCTGGAAGTCTGCAGAGGAAAGCCCTTAGAAAAACAAGCTATTGAGAGCTGAGAATTGATAACATAACTAATAGAAATCACCTTTAACTATCTCATTCCTAGAAATACAGAAAGAACTATTAGTATTTTAAAACACAAATACATTAGCATTAACATCAGTTCACAAAAATCCAAACTATGCTGTAGGAAGAAAAACAGATTATGGAGAGAAAATAAATCACAGCATGAATTAGTGAACTTGAGGCTTGTAACTTTGCCTTTATACAAACAAATAAGTGAGAAATACCATCGGACACGTGCTCTTTCATGTGAAATTGAGAAAGAGCATTTCATTTAATTACTACTATTATTTTGATCGGGGACAAACCCAGAGGATAATGATTCCTATAAATGATTCATTGTTATAAGTCACCTCATACTCTCAGTAAACTCCTACATACATCCAAGAGCTAAAAAGCAAGCTTGCAGTAGTTCACTAGCACAATTAAAGAATTAATTAAAAGACTGAATATATTTGAAGCCTTGGACTGGAGCAACTCATGTTTACACACTGCAAAACTCTGCATTTATCTCTGAAGGATAAATAAATACATTAAGACAGGCACCTTGCTGCAAAAACATACAGTATTTTTTTGGTAAGATTAACAAATTACCTCAGCAGATCAGCCTCATGGAACAGGGGACTGAAAATGATGTCCCGTCTCACCAAGTCTACTGTCATGTCTGTCCCCTGTTATTCAGGAAGACTTATCACAGTGATCAGGTGAGGAGACTGGCTGTAATGTGACTGACACTCAGTGTTTAGTAAACAATTGCAAAAGATATAACATAACTGATCATGTCCCTGAAATGTTTAAAAAATAATTTAAAAATGCTTTCGTCAACATTGTGGAGGCCTTAAATCAGTAGAATTTACACAACTACAAAATACCCAGACTTTGAAAAAAAAGAGACACTTCAAAATTGCAAAAGAGTACTCAAAAAAGCTTTTTTCTTCTACATAAAAAATTAACACCTTCACAGACATCATAGGACACAAGTCACCACAAATGCCTACATCAGTGTATGTTCAAACACCATCATCAATAAATTAAGTCTCTTTTTTTTATTCTTTATCCTTTCAAGTCAACCTGACACCAAAGGAAAACAGAAATCAAGCATCCATCTTCTAGCTTATACATCCAGACTTTCAGTCTTTAAGAAAATTAATCTGCTTTACATGGATCTTCTTGTGAGATTAATAGGCTTACCAAAACTGTTATGAATGAAACATTAAAACTAAACACTAATACTGGGATAAAACTTACAGAGATTGTTCCTTCCTGCAGGTGCTGTATTACCTGTCCCAGGCAGATCAACTCTGCACTAAAAATTCCTTCAGGCTTGGATGAGGGACTCACTGAAGAGCAGGGCTGTGTTATCTTGATTCAAAGAAATGCCTGGAAGTCATCTCACTAGCTCTGGACACTGAAGTTAAGAACTGAAAGTCTAAGATAAACCTCATGTCCTTCTACAGTCAGATATCTATGCAGCCTGAATGGATTCACCCTACTTGAGGAAGATCTGAATCACTCTCCAGAGGTATTCACTTTCCTCTGTAGAGGATCAGTAGAGCTTAGGTTTCTGATGCCTTCCAACATCCAAATTTAGATTGGGCCACTTTATGTCTTCTGTCATAACCAGTAGACACTAAATTACCAATCTGCAAGCACAAAAACTCACAATGTTTAAAAATAATCACATATGATTTACTTGATATGAGTACACATTTGCACACACCACCTGCCCGAAGTCATGGACATACCTAACTTCTATGAGGTATCAAAGACCAGGAGGTAAAATCCACTTGCTTTAATGGTACAAGCTGATAGTGCAGCCATAAGGACAATTTTAAGAAAGAATACAAGTAACTCAGCAAAAAAAAGTACACACATTTCAGTGTGGTACACTAGATAGACTTCAACATGGACACACATAGACCAGATCTGCAGAAAAAAACTGCGTCAGTTAAAATTCAAATTACTCATGAGGTACATGGGTTTATAGTAATAAGAAAGAGCATTACTTTTTTTTCCTCTGTAGCCTGAGCCAAAGTCTGTGTACGAGACTACGTGCTTTTGCAGAGGGAAAACCTGAAGGACTGAAGAATCTGCTCCTTTCTTTGCCCTTTTAAAGAAAGCTCCTTTTCACATCCATATTCAACACAGCAAGCTTGTATTTAGCATGTGTGGCTTGGAATGTTTATGTTTTTAATACACTGTGTTGGAACAGCGTTCAATTTGTGAGATTTGGAAGCAGTGAGTCTGGCAAATATGGCTATGCTTATACTGAATACTGTATTGATTTCCATATTAACTCCCAAGTAAACCTTTCTAAAACAAAGGGAGCTTATCCAAGATCAAAACAAGAAAAAGAGCTACTATTCCAAATGCAAACAAAAATTCTCAAGGTGTTCAGACACCCCTCTTCTGTTTCCTAGAGAGACAAACCAGAGCATAATAAACAATTCAGTTGTGCTTCAGTTGTTACTAAATCTGGCATCCTTTCATTTTCATTACACTGATTTCTAAGCATATAGAAATATCCACCAACCTCAAAATTTCCCTTCAAGGAAACACATTTAGTCTAGGACACTACAGACTGTGACTTTAAAAAGTCACAATGAGATCTGAGTTTTGTATGGAGACACTAAACAGACTGAAAGTGTTTTAGTGAGAAGTAACATTCCAATGACAGTAAATTAAACACCAATTTTAAAAGTTTTTAGTAGATCGATCGATGGGTGTACACTTTGCACTCCGATGAAAGCTGGAAAAAATTCTGACAGAGTTTCTTCACACAAGCAGACCTGCAAGAATAACTGAGTTAGCGCTATTTGTATTTTAACAAGTCTTGATGATTAGTTCA